TTCCATTTCCTTATATTTTCATTTGTCATAACTGTCATTCAGTCGTGCAAGTATATTATTATTAAATTCAGCAAAATACAATTGCAATTATGATGCATATACTTTGGTATACGTTGATGTACAGTATATCCACCAGTGCTTTACATCCCACATAATAATTACTATAGAAAATATTTACAAAAAGAAACAGTGAACATTTTTTTTGTACTGTTACTTTTGAAAAAGTAATGAATAACTGTATTTCTGTTGTATAATACAGTATATCCACTTATTTAACACTTACACATGATATCTTGAAGTCCCGAATGGTCCACTCTGGGAGGACCTTCTCAGAAAGCAGTTGCACCACAACGTCACCATAGTACAAAGGCTCACTGTCAATCGGCCAGTAGCGATCACACTTCACCTGAATCATACACACATTCACAAAGGTATGATTTGGGCATGAGCACGCATCACTAGAAAAAAAGAGTATTAGAAGCTTCTTCACTATAAGTCAGTTAAGAAAGAAAGTTAAGAAAATAAAAGTCCAAGTTTGGACAGATGACAAGTTTGAACTTTAACGATATTAATTTTGCAAGTAAAAATAAATATACCAAAATGTTTTTGAAATTTGTATTTGTATTTATTTTTGAGCTAAGTATATGGCCGGTGGCAATTGATAATGAGTGTCACCAGCGCGCTGCACCGGCGGCATATCTCACAGGGAGCTATGGAAAGCATAAAAAGGAGGAGCAATGACAGTGAAGGATGAGGAGAGGATCAGGTCTGGACATTTATGTTCTTTTATTAATGTGTGTATGGCAGTCGTCTTGAGGGTCTGACGCTTTTTATTTTGTTTTGTGTTTTGTTTAACAATAAAGTGATTAAATGTTCGCCGGTTTCCACCTCCTTCCTCCCTTATCAACATACCGCGTTACAATGTACATACCCTATAAATACCTGCAATTGTACTTTTGCTATATTAAATTTGGACTTTAGTTATCCGGGAATGTAGTGCTGAGGTCCAACTAAACATACTTAAGTATATTTGATTGTGCTAAAGAGGAACTATTGCAAGTATACTTTAAAATATTACTTAATTTATACTTATATAAGACTAATTTATACTTATATTAAATATATTGTATTTAAAGGACTAATATCATGTAGTGATCATACTATCTTTACCAATAGTTTTATGAAAACACATTTTAGGCTTAATATTAAGAAATTAACAAAGTGCTCCAAATAAAGTTTAATTATATTATTTAGATCAGTCTCAAGCGATATGTCAGTAAATAAGTAATAGATTTTAGTACACTTGGTATGAAATAAATGCATTTCAAAGACATTTTGGAATCATGTTTTTTTTTTTCACTAGGGTTGTGTATTATATATATATATATATATATATATATAAGACCATTTCACAAGATTTAAACAACACTGGTCCAGAAGCACTTCCTGTTTCAGTTTGTAACTGTTTTCTTTATTCACATGTAAAGAAAACATCTTAAAGATGTTTGTTTAACTTTTGATTCATATTTATATGTTCTGTTGGTTGTATTTATCCCAGCTTTTATGCTAATTGAAATACAGGCTGATGGTCGACCTGCTGGGCATTGCTGCCTGTCGCACCTCCACCGGTGCCTTTTGTGCAGGTGTGCTCCACCTCTTTGGCATAAGATGGGTCATCAGCTGGGGACCACCAGTCATCGATGTTTCGCTCCTTTAACCCCAGTACATCTCCTGGTGGCGGAGCGATGGCAGGGATCACTCCCTGCCACCCCTGCTGATGCCCTAGATGTTACTTGGCCCCCATACCTTGTGCTTCCTCCTTAGCCACAACCAAAAGCTGCCCCTCTCAGCCTCCTCTGCCAGTTCTTTAATGGCTTTTCGACACCCTGCTCCTGTACATCCCATCTCGCGGAGCAGACGAACCGTTGAGGACCCAACAAAGCCCCTGCATCCCACTTCAACTGGCCACGTGGTGGCTTTCCAGCCAGCCTCTTTGCAGGCTTCTGCCAGATCTGCGTACTTGGCACGCTTCCGTTCGTTGGCAGCCTCCATTCCCTCCTCCCATGGGACAGTGAGCTCCACCAACAAGATGGTCTTGCATAACTCTGACCACATGATCAGGTCTGGCCGGAGCAAAGTTTCCACGATCTCCCTGGGGAATTGGAGCTGCCTCCCCAGGTCGACCCTCATGTTCCACTCACTGCCAGATAAGAGGACTCTAGATGTTGCTCTCTGGTAAGGGTGATTGATTTTTTCCCCGGCTCTTGCAAACAGGATGGGACTTCTCGTTGGTCCAAAGGGTCTTCTATTAGCCTCCTGTCTACACGACTCTGCCACCTCTGCTAGTTTCCTCAACACCAGATCGTGTCGCCACCTATAGCGGCCTTGGGACAATGCTGTCTTGCAGCCCGACAGGATGTGCTGGAGGCTTGCATTGCTGGTACTGCAAAGGGGGCAGAGTTCTTCAGTGCCGAACCACTGATGGAGGTTTCTGGGACAAGGTAGGGTGTCATAAGTAGATCTAATCAGGAAGCTGAGCCTTGCTTGGGGTATCTTCCACAGATCAGACCATGACAGATGCCTGTCTGTGACACCTTCCCATGACATCCAGACTCCCTGCCAGCTCTGAGACTTGATGTTAAGGCGCTCCTGCTCAGTCCTTGTCACTTCTGCCACCACCATGGCTTTCCGCTCTTCCTTGGAGGCCTTTGACCAGAAGAGGGGGGTCTCACTCCTCCCAAGGCCTGCTCGACCCTCCTGGACTCTGCCGACTATTTCACAGTGTTTTCAGCCTGCTAATTGCCCTGTCGACCTCTTCCTGGGCTTTCCACTTCCTCCCTGTTCGTATATTAGGGCCAGCTGCTCTCACCAGTTGATCAGTTGATTCCCTTAGCTCCATCACCATCCGAGCCTTCTCCTGCTTGTATCCCAGGCCAATGGATCGCAGTGGCAGCTGTAGTGTGTTCCTGCCAAAGAGGCCTACCTCTGATAGGCATCTTGGCAGACCTAGCCACTTCCTGATGAATGAGTTTGCTAGCTCATCCATCTTGTTTGCCACCGAGGAGGGAACTTCGCTCATCTTCAGAGGCCACATCACCCTGGGTATAGTATGAACTGGTAGCTCCATACTTTATACTTGCCGGGGAGCTGGCTCTGATTGATTCTGGCGAGGCCATCTGCGAGCTGCTTTCTCACTGTTTCCCCATCTGCCTATCAGAGAGGTCTGCTGTATAACTACGACCCAGGCTACGGACGGGCTGATTTGCCAGCAAAGGGATTTCTTCACCGCCTGCGAAAAAGATGGTATGGTCATTTCTAACCCCTTTCCTGATGGACAGGCTGCGTGATTTGGCGGGTTTGATCTTCATCCTCGCCCACCCCACAAGCTCGTCAACCCTCTTCAGCAGCCTTGTTGTGCATGCAGCTGTCTGAAGAATGGTGGTGATGTCGTCCATATAGCCTCTCACTGGTGGTAGCCTTTGGCCTGATGGTAGCTTCATACCTCCAACCATCACCCTTGCCCCCATCAGGATAATCTCGAAGGCTGCCACAAAGAGGATGGGCGAGATTGAGCATCCCATGGCAATGCCCACTTCCAGCTGTTGCCAGCCTGTCGTGAAGTCCTGATGAGTGCAACACATCTTGATGTCCTCAAAATACTTGGCCACCAGGGCACGAATGCAGTCAGGGATGTAGAAAAAATCCAAGGCATACTCGATGAGTTGGTGGGGGACAGACCCGTATGCGTTGGCAAGATCCAGCCACACCACATGCAAGTCACCTTTTTCTCTTTTGGCTCTCTGGATCTGCTCCCATATGACTGCAGAGTGTTCCACGCACCCTGGGAAGCCTGGCACGCCTGCTTTCTGGCAGCTAGTGTCAATGTACCCATTGCTTATGAGGTAGGTAGCCAACCTCTTTGCCAGGACGGAGAAGAAAATCTTGCCTTCCACATTCAGGAGTGCAATGCTCCTGAACTGGCTAATGGTGGTAGAGCTCGTTTCCTTCGGGATGAACACTGTGACAGCTCGTCGCCAATCTGAAGGGATAACCTTGTTCTTCCAGGCCACTCTCAGGAGGTTCCACAGATGTCTCAGGACCCCTGGGCAGTACTTGTACAGCTTATACGATATCCCATTGAGGCCTGGAGCTGAGGCTGCTCTCGCTTTCCGTACAACTTCTGCTACCTCACTGAGTTTGGGGAGATCAGTGTTAAACAGCGAGGATGGGGGGGCTGGGCGAGGAACATAACCTGGTGATCCCAGTGGCGTTGACTTTGCTGGGTCACTGTACTGCTCCCTGAAGAAACTTTCCAGCTGTGACTGTGTGATCTCCAGCTTCCCGCTTCTCTTATCCTCCAGTAGCTGTCTCGCATGCTTGAAGGGGTTTTTGAAGAAGTTTCTCCTCTCCTTCTCCTTCCGCCTTCTGCGTTTGCGGATACGCTCTGCCCTCCGAAGGCTGGCTAGGTTCTTCTTCACCTCCTCCCACAGTGGCTTCAAGCCCTCCTTCTCCTCTTTACTTGCCTTCCTCCACTGCTTTCGGAGCTGGCGCCGCCTCTTTATCAGTTGCTCGATCTCTCTCTCCCTCCTCCCCTTCTGCTTTGAACCCTTCTGCTTCTCAGCAACTACCCCGAACCTGCTTCTGCACTCCTCGTACAGGATGACTCCAAAGCGATTCAGCTTGGTTTCCACCTGGCCGCGCAGTGACTGCTCCAGAATTAAACAGAGGTCCTTATCGAGCTGCTGCCACACTGCCACCTCATTCGCTTTAGGCCATTTCACTAGCTGCCTCCGCCCAGGTTCACTCCTCTCTGGTCTTAGGCCTGGCTCCTGATTGCTGGGGTTTAGTAATGAAGGTTTCCTAAGGATATTTTGTGCACCACCCTCAGAGGAATACGTATCAACCAAAGACTCTCCTGTGTCCTCTACCTGCCTTCCCTCAGCAACGTTGGAACCTTCAGCGCTGTGGTTAGCGACCTGGCTTTGGGCTCCTCTTGTCTGACCTGCAGTTGCAGAGCAATGTTGCTGCTGGCCCCCGCTTGACACTTCTTCTTTCCCTGGTTAATCCTTAAACCTCTGAAGGTAGTCTCCTTCTCCCATCCACACCTGCATCTTCTCAAAATCTTCACATCATTGCCTGTATCCGTTCCAGTCGTTACCAAAAAGTCAGTCCGGTTTGGCCCTTCTTCCACCCCGCCTCTCGGAGGGCCATCGGGTTGTTTTCCTTTATTTGTCTTCGTAGTTTATTACGGGTGTCCCGTCAGGTACTGGTGGGTAAGGTAACTAGCCTGCCACCCCCGATGCAGACTTTCCTGCAGTCATCCAGTCTCTCCTGAATGTCCTCCAGTCTTCCCTGGACGCCAACTGCCCTTTCACAGTAGTCACTGGATACCTCCAGATTGAGCTAATTGAAATACAGGCTGATGGTCGACCTGCTGGGCATTGCTGCCTGTCGCACCTCCACCGGTGCCTTTTGTGCAGGTGTGCTCCACCTCTTTGGCATAAGATGGGTCATCAGCTGGGGACCACCAGTCATCGATGTTTCGCTCCTTTAACCCCAGTACATCTCCTGGTGGCGGAGCGATGGCAGGGATCACTCCCTGCCACCCCCTGCTGATGCCCTAGATGTTACTTGGCCCCCATACCTTGTGCTTCCTCCTTAGCCACAACCAAAAGCTGCCCCTCTCAGCCTCCTCTGCCAGTTCTTTAATGGCTTTTCGACACCCTGCTCCTGTACATCCCATCTCGCGGAGCAGACGAACCGTTGAGGACCCAACAAAGCCCCTGCATCCCACTTCAACTGGCCACGTGGTGGCTTTCCAGCCAGCCTCTTTGCAGGCTTCTGCCAGATCTGCGTACTTGGCACGCTTCCGTTCGTTGGCAGCCTCCATTCCCTCCTCCCATGGGACAGTGAGCTCCACCAACAAGATGGTCTTGCATAACTCTGACCACATGATCAGGTCTGGCCGGAGCAAAGTTTCCACGATCTCCCTGGGGAATTGGAGCTGCCTCCCCAGGTCGACCCTCATGTTCCACTCACTGCCAGATAAGAGGACTCTAGATGTTGCTCTCTGGTAAGGGTGATTGATTTTTTCCCCGGCTCTTGCAAACAGGATGGGACTTCTCGTTGGTCCAAAGGGTCTTCTATTAGCCTCCTGTCTACACGACTCTGCCACCTCTGCTAGTTTCCTCAACACCAGATCGTGTCGCCACCTATAGCGGCCTTGGGACAATGCTGTCTTGCAGCCCGACAGGATGTGCTGGAGGCTTGCATTGCTGGTACTGCAAAGGGGGCAGAGTTCTTCAGTGCCGAACCACTGATGGAGGTTTCTGGGACAAGGTAGGGTGTCATAAGTAGATCTAATCAGGAAGCTGAGCCTTGCTTGGGGTATCTTCCACAGATCAGACCATGACAGATGCCTGTCTGTGACACCTTCCCATGACATCCAGACTCCCTGCCAGCTCTGAGACTTGATGTTAAGGCGCTCCTGCTCAGTCCTTGTCACTTCTGCCACCACCATGGCTTTCCGCTCTTCCTTGGAGGCCTTTGACCAGAAGAGGGGGGTCTCACTCCTCCCAAGGCCTGCTCGACCCTCCTGGACTCTGCCGACTATTTCACAGTGTTTCAGCCTGCTAATTGCCCTGTCGACCTCTTCCTGGGCTTTCCACTTCCTCCCTGTTCGTATATTAGGGCCAGCTGCTCTCACCAGTTGATCAGTTGATTCCCTCAGCTCCATCACCATCCGAGCCTTCTCCTGCTTGTATCCCAGGCCAATGGATCGCAGTGGCAGCTGTAGTGTGTTCCTGCCAAAGAGGCCTACCTCTGATAGGCATCTTGGCAGACCTAGCCACTTCCTGATGAATGAGTTTGCTAGCCCATCCATCTTGTTTGCCACCGAGGAGGGAACTTCGCTCATCTTCAGAGGCCACATCACCCTTGGGTATAGTATGAACTGGTAGCTCCATACTTTATACTTGCCGGGAGCTGGCTCTGATTGATTCTGGCGAGGCCATCTGCGAGCTGCTTTCTCACTGTTTCCCCCATCTGCCTATCAGAGAGGTCTGCTGTATAACTACGACCCAGGCTACGGACGGGCTGATTTGCCAGCAAAGGGATTTCTTCACCGCCTGCGAAAAAGATGGTATGGTCATTTCTAACCCCTTTCCTGATGGACAGGCTGCGTGATTTGGCGGGTTTGATCTTCATCCTCGCCCACCCCACAAGCTCGTCAACCCTCTTCAGCAGCCTTGTTGTGCATGCAGCTGTCTGAAGAATGGTGGTGATGTCGTCCATATAGCCTCTCACTGGTGGTAGCCTTTGGCCTGATGGTAGCTTCATACCTCCAACCATCACCCTTGCCCCCATCAGGATAATCTCGAAGGCTGCCACAAAGAGGATGGGCGAGATTGAGCATCCCATGGCAATGCCCACTTCCAGCTGTTGCCAGCCTGTCGTGAAGTCCTGATGAGTGCAACACATCTTGATGTCCTCAAAATACTTGGCCACCAGGGCACGAATGCAGTCAGGGATGTAGAAAAAATCCAAGGCATACTCGATGAGTTGGTGGGGGACAGACCCGTATGCGTTGGCAAGATCCAGCCACACCACATGCAAGTCACCTTTTTCTCTTTTGGCTCTCTGGATCTGCTCCCATATGACTGCAGAGTGTTCCACGCACCCTGGGAAGCCTGGCACGCCTGCTTTCTGGCAGCTAGTGTCAATGTACCCATTGCTTATGAGGTAGGTAGCCAACCTCTTTGCCAGGACGGAGAAGAAAATCTTGCCTTCCACATTCAGGAGTGCAATGCTCCTGAACTGGCTAATGGTGGTAGAGCTCGTTTCCTTCGGGATGAACACTGTGACAGCTCGTCGCCAATCTGAAGGGATAACCTTGTTCTTCCAGGCCACTCTCAGGAGGTTCCACAGATGTCTCAGGACCCCTGGGCAGTACTTGTACAGCTTATACGATATCCCATTGAGGCCTGGAGCTGAGGCTGCTCTCGCTTTCCGTACAACTTCTGCTACCTCACTGAGTTTGGGGAGATCAGTGTTAAACAGCGAGGATGGGGGCTGGGCGAGGAACATAACCTGGTGATCCCAGTGGCGTTGACTTTGCTGGGTCACTGTACTGCTCCCTGAAGAAACTTTCCAGCTGTGACTGTGTGATCTCCAGCTTCCCGCTTCTCTTATCCTCCAGTAGCTGTCTCGCATGCTTGAAGGGGTTTTTGAAGAAGTTTCTCCTCTCCTTCTCCTTCCGCCTTCTGCGTTTGCGGATACGCTCTGCCCTCCGAAGGCTGGCTAGGTTCTTCTTCACCTCCTCCCACAGTGGCTTCAAGCCCTCCTTCTCCTCTTTACTTGCCTTCCTCCACTGCTTTCGGAGCTGGCGCCGCCTCTTTATCAGTTGCTCGATCTCTCTCTCCCTCCTCCCCTTCTGCTTTGAACCCTTCTGCTTCTCAGCAACTACCCCGAACCTGCTTCTGCACTCCTCGTACAGGATGACTCCAAAGCGATTCAGCTTGGTTTCCACCTGGCCGCGCAGTGACTGCTCCAGAATTAAACAGAGGTCCTTATCGAGCTGCTGCCACACTGCCACCTCATTCGCTTTAGGCCATTTCACTAGCTGCCTCCGCCCAGGTTCACTCCTCTCTGGTCTTAGGCCTGGCTCCTGATTGCTGGGGTTTAGTAATGAAGGTTTCCTAAGGATATTTTGTGCACCACCCTCAGAGGAATACGTATCAACCAAAGACTCTCCTGTGTCCTCTACCTGCCTTCCCTCAGCAACGTTGGAACCTTCAGCGCTGTGGTTAGCGACCTGGCTTTGGGCTCCTCTTGTCTGACCTGCAGTTGCAGAGCAATGTTGCTGCTGGCCCCCCGCTTGACACTATAGTTAGTTTATGTAGTGTTAATAAACTGAAAACAGGAAGTGCTTCTGGACCAGTGTTTTTTTTTTGTCAAATGGTCTTATATATATAATATATATATATATATATATATGTGTGTGTGTGTGTGTGTGTGTGTGTATGTCTGTTACCTCCCTGCTGTAAAAATAGTTTATGCTAAGGGGTATAATAAAAGAAAAAAAAACAAACAAACAAACAAACAAACAAACAAACAAAAACAAACTTACCATGCCTCTCTCCACACACTGGGTTACCATTACAAGGCTGTGAAATTTTGTTCCCACACCATACGCCAGAAATCATCCTTGGTACCTGGTAGAGGCCCTTGTGTGGCAATATACTCCCATTTGAAATTGTATCCCTGTTAAACAAATACAGAAATACTTTTAAACCTGTGGACAAAAAGGACCGTTAACTGCTTTGAAGTTCATGAACGGTACTAATATTTAGGTTTTTCTTTTTTTAAAGAAATTGTTAGTTGACAATTAACAAAAAAATAAACAAACAATAGATACAGTTGAGACAATTTCACATAGAGCGCTTGCTGAAGGTCCAGAAGCTGACATTTGCTGCGTCCCAATTCAGAGGCTGCATCCTTCAAAGGGTGATTGCATCACCAGGGCGTGACGAAGACTGTACCAATCTCAAAGGCTCCTTCAAAAGCGGCCTCGAAATGCACTCTTCGTTTCCCGCGAAATGAAGGATACAAACATATGGATTCTTCAAGGCCTTGTCTACTCCAGAATTCATTGCACGGCAGAGAAGTTGACAAATTCCGCTTTCAAAAAGTATTGTTTCAACTTGGTCAAATATATAATGATACAAATGTAAAAAAAAATAAAAAAAAATATATATATATATATATATATATATATATATATATATATACAGTATATATATGAAGAGTTCAGATGCAAAAGCCTCTAAATGCCATTTGAAATTTTCTTCTAAAATGATAATTTTTATCAAGCTTGTATATTTAAGTTCAGTAATTTCACTTAAATTGCAATGAAGATTACCTATTAATTGTCATTTAAGTGAGATTACTGAACTTAAATATACAAGCTTGATAAAAATGGTCATTTTAGAAGAAATTTCAAATGGCATATAGAGGCTTTTGCATCTGAGCTCTTCATATATATATATATATATATATATATATATTAAAAACATTATGTCATCTTTCTCATTTATAACCTAGATAATGTTGGAAACAGTTGTGTAGCTTAATATTAAAAGAAAAAAAACAGAATTTATTCAAAATGATGTGAAAGACAAAATAAGTCTTTATTGTCACTTTTATCAGTTTATCAGAAAAATAATTACTGACTCCAAGAGTAGTGTATATTGTTAAAAAATCCTGAAAAAAGTATCACAGGTTATAAAAATATATATATTAAGCTGCACAACTGTTTCCAACATCAATAATAAATTGGCATATTTCTGAAGGATCATGTGACACTGAAGACTGGAGTAATGGCTGATGAAAATTCAGCTTTGCATCTGTTACGTGAGTATCACGAACGTCTGGACTGGAGTCCTCTAATTAAGTTTAATTATGTTAATGTTGTCTTGTTTCCGTTTTTCTTAGTTTTGATTGGTGGTGCTTGGGAAGGACCAGAGATAAAACGGAAGAAGTGTCCTTGGAGGAGGCCGCTCACCACTGATTCTTCATTGTTTATAGTTTTGAATTTGAGTTTGGAGCGGGGAGTCTCAGCTGTGGGTTGTATTTCCAATTCTCTTCCCGTGTTGCTGAGCTCCCCGTCTCTTATGTTATGGTTAATTTGGGAGTTGTTTGAGTTATAATAAATACATCATTTTGGATTACGTCTTTCGTTGTCGATCTTTTATGTTGTGGTCCCGGAAACCTAGACCCGTATTTTGTGGGACCGTAACATAAAAGATCAAGCAAGAAATTTGCTAGATTATGTCAGCTCTTTTCGTTACAAGTTACATAGGGCTTTGTGAGTTGGCTAGCAAAAATCTGATCGTAGCTCAGGCCAAAATGAAAGGTTGGTTTGACAAAAAAGCTAAGATTAGACAATTTAAGGCTGGGGACAAAGTTTTGGTATTTTTACCTGTTCTTGGTTCAAGTCTTCAAGCACGCTATAGTGGTCCATATGTCATACAGAAGAAGGTTAGTGACAGGGATTATATTGTAGCTACTCCCGACCGTGTCCGTCAAAGCAGATTGTGCCATGTCAATATGATCAAACCCTATTATGATCGCGAACAGTTGGACAAGAATAATACAGGGGAGGTAAATTCAGTAATGGCTTTGATCAATATTGAACAGCCTCAGTGTGTTCTCCTGTCTGTACTGCTTTTCAGGTACCTGATTCCTCTGAAGGAACATCTGGAGCTGAAACTGTCTCTGAGGCCTGGGGGTCGCTGTCCGGTTCTGAAGTTGACAGTGGTATTAAAAGTTCTCTTGTCTCTACAGTACAGGGCCGGTTAAACAACTCTGAAATACTCGCTAACCTTGTTTTTACATCTATCCTGTTCGCAGCGTACAGATGTTGTAAATTTAATTAATCGTTATGTTTTACTCTTTTCAGATGTGCCGTCCCAAACGCAAATATTACAGCATGACATCGATGTGGGTGACAATACGCCAATTAAACAGCACCCGTATCGTGTCAATCCTGAGAAACATCGGCGTTTACAAAATCAGGTTGACTATATGCTGTTACATGGTATTGTAGAACCTAGTGTCAGCTCATGGAGTTCGCCCTGCATTCTCGCTATTAAGTCTGATGGATCTGACCGTTTTTGTACAGACTTTAGGAAGGTTAACAATGTCACGAAGCCTGATTGTTATCTCTTCCTCGCATGGAGGATTGTGTTGACCGCGTGGGGTCTGCAACGTTCGTGACAAAGCTAGACCTTCTTAAAGGCTATTGGCAGGTGCATTAACTCCACGTGCTAGGGAAGTTAGTGCGATTGTTACTCCTGATGCCTTCTTGCAGTATTCTGTAATGCCTTTTGGGGAACGAAACGCGCCCCTTTCAAATCTGGATGGATTATAGTAATTCACTCTGCAACGTGGGATGAGCACATCAATCAACTACAACAAGTGTTTCACAGGTTGGCGAGGGCAAACTTAACGGTTAATTTGGCTAAATGTGAATTTGCTAAAGCAACCATAACCTATCTAGGGAAAATTGTAGGTGGTGGCAAGGTAAAACCGGTAAATGCCAAAATTGAGGCCATTACATAATTTCCAGTGCCTTCTAGTCGTCGTGAACTACAGCGATTCTTAGGAATGGCGGGCTATTACCGTAGTTTTTGTGTAAACTTCTCTGCCGTAGCTGCCCCACTTACTGACCTGTTGAGTCCAAAAATAAGTTTTAAATGGTCACCGGAATGTCAATATGCTTTTGAGTCCCTTAAAACACTCCTGATGCAGGCACCTGTTCTCGCTGTTCCAGCGTATGACCGTGTGTTTAAACTGGCTGTGGATGCCAGTGATGCGGGAGCAGGTGCTGTTTTGTTGCAGGAGGGGCTTGATGGCATTGAACATCCGGTGTGCTATTTTTCAAAAAAATGTCAAAAACATCAAAAATCATATTCAACAATTGAGAAAGAAGCGCTTGCCTTGATTTTGGCCCTCAAGAACTTTGATGTTTATATCGGTTCTTCATCCAGTCCGGTTACGGTTTATACGGACACAACCCTCTTGTGTTTATTAATCAAATGCGCAACTCAAATAAGCGTTTGATGAGGTGGGCTTTGTTTGTCCAATCATTTAATCTGGAGATAAAACATGTATCCGGGAAGAATAATGTGTTGGCAGACACATTGTCGCGTACGGTTATATGGTGATTGGTGGGTTTATGTTGTTCTTTCCCACCATTCACCATTTAGGGGTGGAGGTGTTACGTGAGTATCGCGAACGTCTGGACTGGAGTCCTCTAATTAAGTTTATTATGTTAATGTTGTCTTGTTTTCCGTTTTTTTTCTTAGTTGATTGGTGGTGCTTGGGAAGGACCAGAGATAAAACGGAAGGAAGTGTCCTTGGAGGAGGCCGCTCACCACTGATTCTTCATTGTTTATAGTTTTGAATTTGAGTTTGGAGCGGGGAGTCTCAGCTGTGGGTTGTATTTCCAATTCTCTTCCCGTGTTGCTGAGCTCCCCGTCTCTTATGTTATGGTTAATTTGGGAGTTGTTTGAGTTATAATAAATACATCATTTTGGATTACGTCTTTCGTTGTCGATCTTTTATGTTGTGGTCCCGGAAACCTAGACCCGTATTTTGTGGGACCGTAACAGCATCACATAAATAAATACTATTTTAAAGTATATTAAAACAGAAAATATAAATATAATATTATATATCTATATAAATAATAATTTTGTCTGTAATTTTGATCAAATAAATGCAGCGTAAAATTCACAACCTAAACCACACAACTCATGATTCCGCACAGTTTTTAGCCAACGAGCTATCAAATGAAAAACATAATAGTCAACTCACAGGTATGTAGTTAGCATTGATGTAGTCTGAGCAGGGGTCGTCCTTCAAGCAAGACAGTCTTACACGCGTTGAGTCGTCTGCCAATGAATCATTAAAGTGGTTAATGAGGAAGTTCGTGTTTCATTTGAGCACACAAAGTAAAGAACTACGAAATATACTCCAGGCCTGCCACAGTATACGCTATAGCGGGTATGAAGGATGAAACTGGTATTAAATAATAGAAAATTGTTGAAAGGTGCAAATACAGTATTTTGAATGAAACTCACTTAACAACAATAGTTCCTATATAAATATAATAAAGTATTTAATCGCCTTAAATAAAATGTTGTGAACTGACTGAACAGAGTGTATACAATTAATTTTAATAAATGTAATAATTTATTAATACATTTTATCATTTTAAAACTTTTAATAATTTATCATTTATCTGTATTAAATTTTACATTTTCCTTTGAAATTTTAGCCACAATAAATACAAAATAAAATTAAAAATTTACAATAAAGAGGCTTTGCGTTATTGTGCTGGCAACCATAGGACATCCAACCAGCGCAAATATGTAATCAATTTGAATATTACATCAGTGTGACAACTGTGATATCATGGCAAGTCTAATATAGTCAGAATGTACTTTTATGACAATGTCATATGTCTCTACTTACAGGGAAGTATATTGTTGTATCGATTTTTGCTTCGGTTCCCAAGTAGACGTGCAGCACTCTGAGTTTGGGTCCGTCCCACCTCCTTTAAGCCCTTTTTAATATTGGGTTGATGCAAAAACATCCAAATTATATATACAGTCAACTCAACTTTTCACAAAATTCTAACCTATCTTTGAAGTAAAACAATTCAAAGTGGGGGGAAATCTCAAATTAATGTTTTCTCTAGTTCACGTTGGCCACAATTATTGGCATCCAATTATTGCAACATCCTTTCCCCAAGATAACCGCTCTGAGTTTTCTCCTATAATGAGTTTGGAGAACACCTGACAAGAGATCAGAGACCATTCCTCCATAGAATATCTCTCTCTCAGAAGCTTCTTTTTGTACTCAGTGACACATTTTTGTGTTGATTTTGATGTTTGTTGTGGATCTGATGGAAGATCTAACCACAGCCCATTATAAGATTTCTAGCAGAAGTGGTCAGGTTTTCTGTTCAGAAGTGATCTGTTGGCATTTGCATGATATGATATTTTCAGACATGTATCTGATGTCCAGGACCTCCAGCAAAAATGTAGTCCCAC